CTCTTCTGGTTTCTGGCCAAGGTTCACCCTCAAACATCATTTGTTTAGGGAATAAAATATGGAAACTGAATCCCAGTCTACTGGGGGGGGGGGGGCGGGGACACACAATGACACAGATGATGCATAACTTCTACCAATGCAACTGGTAAGACATCAGAAATTAAATTCTACACAGGAAATCAACAGAGGGGCATTTGCAATTTGACTTCAGACTCTGGGAAAGTCTCTGTGTATCTCAGAAAGGTCTGGGTTTTTGAACTTGCTGGAGTAACAGAATGGGTCACATAGCAGTCCCACTGGCCGTAGCAGGGGACTGCCACTGATACACTCAGTGATGACTGACAACATATGCCTTTGGGGAAATATTGGCATTAAGAACTTTTAACGAGGAGTACTGTCTTTCCACACATACTTTCTGTGACACAGTCCTATGGTGTCCTTCAGGGTTTTAGTTTTTTTTTTTTTTGTTGTTGTTGTTGTTTTGTTTTTTTTTTTAATAATAATTCTTTATTTTCACCAGATCATCAGAGAGTAATACTGTGAAAATTCTAAAACAATCCCCACACAGAAAAATGTCCATGTTTTAAAGGAGATGATTCCAAGCACAGGCTTCAAACTCTTTGTCTCGGGCACATTTTAAACCCTTGACTCCATAAAAACCTTAGTATCCTCATTAAACTCAGAAGTGGCCTTCCTGAGGGCAATACTTCTCATAGACCTCACTGGCTGGGGCTTGGTGCTCGCTCCTTTGATCTGGAGACTCTGGACTCACACTGTAACAATGCCCTCTGGATCTCTGGAGCCAGGTAGGAGGCAGCCTCGGGAACACTGTCCCTTTGTGTATAATTTGTGCTTAGAAATGTAGGTGGCTAGTTCTTTTGTCTCAGCAAAGGGTACCGGCCAGCATGCCTGGAAAAAAAAGCTGTGAGGAATAATGTGCTTTCTGCACAAGCTCATGACGCCATGCTAATTAAACTTATTTACTAAGGGCAGGAATGCACATGTGCCTTTTGGCCTGTGAGGGTTGATATCAGGTTCTGAGAAGCACAAAGCCCTACCGGGTTCTGAAATCCGACCTGCATTTGAAACTGGATTGGACATTTTGTTTGTTTGCTTGCTTTAAATACAGGGCTGGTATTTACTCACGTCTAAAGTGTCCTGATTTACAAGGTAAAATGAAGGTGCTTTGAAAGCAACCAAGTTAATGGAAGCATATTTAATTTGGAGTATTTGCATGGGCACCCAGCACAGTGGTGTCTTCAGGCCATGAAGCAGCAACTGGAACCATAGTTACTGGAGCTTCAAAGGAACTGACGCCAACACCTGTGAGCCAGGAAGTCTGGAAAACAAACGGTCACCCAGTCCTAAGATACAAGTGCTTTGCTGGCTGCAGGGCCATGACCCTCAGACCTCTTGTTTTATTGCTCATATGTGAATTCTCCTTAAAGGTGCTGAACCCAAATTTTCAATTAGGTAGGTACTACTTTTTCATATTTTAAAAACAATTCCCAACACTTTCCTGCGTTTCGGTACAGGCAAACGAAAATACCTCAATAAGTTAACAATTTCTGTTTTGTTTACCATGATGCCTAATGCAGACAGGGAGCTGAAAGCATGCTTCCATGAGTAAACAAGTGGGGGCTGTTAGCCAGATGTGGATATACTGGATCAGCCAGCAGTATTGTTATCATTTTTTGATGACAGTTTTACAGAGATATCTTATGGTTTCGGGAGTTTTATGATGGAAAGTTAGAAGTTGCCAGAACTTCAGCCCTTCCTACTGTGAGCAGTTCAGTGAGTTCAGTAGGCAGGAGAGTCACCCGACCAGACCAGTTCTGGGACGGAGCCCGGCGTCTGTACTGTTGGTGAGATTCCGAATCAGAATCAAGCGTTCCACAGACCCTGGGTTGAAAAGTCCTATTTTTTTTTAAAGATTTATTTATTTATTATATATACAGTGTTCTGTCTGCATGTTTGACTGTGTGACAGAAGAGGGTATCAGATCTCATTTCAGATGATTGTGAGCCACCATGTGGTTGCTGGGAATTGAACTCAGGACCTCTGGAAGAACAGTACAGTCAGTGCTCTTAACCTCTGAGCCATCTCTCCAGCCCCCAAAAAGTCCTATCTTGATGCATCATGTCTGTGGGATTGTGCTGCTTCCTGATGGTGCTCAGTCATACAGGGCTCTAATGAGCATGTGGAGAGCCACGGTCTAACTGGACTACGGAAGACAAACTCTGGGTTCTTCAACTGACCGATTCAAAGACAAAAAACAAAGGTCCTGAGCATCTACTTTAGAAACATCCCCAACAGCATGCAGCTTCATTGTGACATATTTAATTGCAGAGAAATAATATTGTGGCAATGTTCACAGGTTTTCAAAACCCATTCCTTTTTTTCTCCTATATTATAGCTGAGTATTACGTAATGCTTGTCAAAATATTTTGTACATATTAAGTGTTAAGGCTAAATGTACAGGTGAGCTAAATAAACCCTTTCTTTCCCTCGATGAAAGAAAGAAAGCCCAATGCAGTCTGGATGTCTTAATATTTTCCATAAGGGTTAAAATAAGACGAGCATCTATGTTTCTCTTAAAAATCATTTCATACACTAAGCTCACCCACCTGTCCAACTTTGTGAAACATATGCAAAAAATGGGTAATTCTTAACCTCAAGTGATTTACATTTTACCTAGTATAACCAAGCACTCCTGTAAGAAATAAGGAAGAGAGGCCATGAGACCTTCAGCTGTTGGCGAAAGCAGATGTTTTTAGAGAGCTAATTTTAATAAGTAACCTTGCCTTATTTGTACACATTGATTCCCTGCCATTTCTGTCAACCAGCCTTATGTATCAAAACAAAACTACAGCCATCTTGAAGACAGAAATTAGGGAATGACTACAGGATAGTGTTTCTGTATCACTGAATGCTACTGTACCAATCAAAAACACTTTAGGAAGACTTCCTTTAGTGGTGTGGGGGAAATATTTATAATCAAATGATGGGCTTGTAAAATAAGATATAGTGTGGTCCCTGCTATGTAAAATGGAGTCTGTTTAAGGTAATAAATGAGCCACAATTAAACTGCATTTTCCCTGGATGTTTGATCTGGATACTTTTATTCTTTCAATCTACGTATTTTAAATCTTCTCAGCGTTTCTAATTCTGTAAATGCAACATAAATAATGTAAAATGTTTATCAAGACAGTAGCATTAAATCCTCGGTGTGCCCTTTTCTTTGGGCACTTTGCTAAGCTCTACAGGTATCTAAGCTGGGCAGTCTATTGCAGTCTTTGTTCTACGTCTCTTGTGGCCATGGTTCAGGGCACCACCATCTCCACTTTGAATGGTGACTCCCCTGCCTCTATTGATGCCCTTCTTCAATGTGCTCCTCAAACAACAGACAGACCGATGTCGCCACCGGGGTATTCAACATCTGTCTATGGCTTTTTACCTTATTGGGTGGGAAAGGCCAAGTCTCCCAGTGGCCTCTGAAACACCATGTGTTCTGGGCCCTGTGGGTCTCTCATCTCAGCTTTGTTAACTCTCTGCTTTAATTCCTCTACGCTGGCCATTCCAATACTGTCAGTATGCACCTGGTTCAGAGGTCGGGATGCTCACAGCCACTTAGCTGAAGCTTTTTCTTCCTCTGTCTTCACTAAGGTCTTCCCTGAATACTTCCTTGAACTAGAGACTCCCTGCCTGTCTGGCCCGGATTCGCTGCTCGCTTTCCTGTTTTATTTGTGTGTCTCATTTATTTCAGCACATATGTTCCTACTGGCTGTACTCTCAGTTCCTTGAAAGCAAGAGTTTCATTTGGTTCATTGCCGAATGCTCGGTGCTCATTACAGTCCTTCCACAGTGAGTAGCCAGCCACTGTCTGAGCAACAAACAAGGAGAGCTCTCCCTCTGAGTCGGCTTTTCATGTTTTCTTTCCACTCTTCTGCTTCATCTTTATCCTCTAGTGATGGCTGTTGGCCACACCAGTGCCCTTTGCTTTGTTACTCTCTCCTACAGCATTGGCATTTCTCGCATCATTTCCACTTCGCACCTCAGCCTCCGTACGACTTGGTGCATGTGTTGGTACCATGTGGGTCTGCACCACCTCTTTCTCTTTCTCAGGATCTGCCCTGGCTGAGGCAAGGTCAGCTCTCATCTCTCTAGATTTTAAACTTCTGTTGTTCCCAAAGCAATAGGAGGTGCTATTTATTGTGTGTAGGAAATGAAGTAAGGATATTGGCCATATTATGGGGGGCCAGATCCCACATTTATTGACCCCAGGGACTCTTGGGGAGTGAGGGATAAGAGATTTAGATAGAAATATAGAGGAGAGAGACAGACAGAAACACGGGATAGCCTCAGGAGGGTCTGGGTCAAAACCCACCAGCCCCTTCTGTCTCTTCTAAAGGGTTTTTTATAGAAATGCCAAGGGGTGGAGCAAAAGACCTTCCCAGCACAGCCAAGTGCAGACCATCCCAGACACCTGATAACCACGCACGTTGCCAAGCCATCCTCTAATGCAGCCCTGCTGTGTAAAGCAAGCTCAGATCTCACTAGGAAACCTCTGTGGACCCCAACACCATTTCTTATATAATCTCATGTCAAAAGAAAAATGGAATGTATCAGAAATGGAAAGGCAGAAAGAGAGAGCTAAGGACTAAATGCATGATTCCTGGCATTGGCGCAAACTCTGAGTATATTACTATCATCCATGAGTGTTATCTCCCTAACTTAGTCTTCATACATGTTTGAATTATTAAAACTGAAGCACAATTTTAAATGAAATCAGTCAGCTGTTGATGAGGCATGGGTGGCTCCTCTATGACAGCGCACAGCTTAGCAGTCTTTAGGAATCTACTCTACTTTCTTATCTAGAATCTTACCCAGTGATTCACAGCACTGGTCTTGTTGGTCATAGGTCATGCTTAGGAAAGTCTAATTGGCAAATCCTCCCAGTGACTGGAGCAGACTAACATATCATACAGGTGTATGATTACCTGGTTATGAATGTCCTCTCATTGACAAAGATCCAAGAAGGGTACTGGTGATCCATCATTGTCATCCTTTCCCCCTTCTCAAGATGATCCGAGGATGCCCTAAAACATGAGGAAAGCATTAATGTGTTGTCACTGGGAGACATCCCTAAGTTAGTGTCATATTTAAATTGAGTATTTGCTTATGTCTCTAATGTGTACGAGGATGTTTTTAATCAGTGTGAGGATTCACAGGTTTTCTACTGTACCCGCCTCACCTAAAGTGGCTGGACCTTGGATCAGGACAAGATTCCAGGCACTGAAGTCAAGTCCTGGCTTGAGAGTTGACTAAGGATAATGTAATAGCCTCCAATTACCTACCCTACAGGCTCTGAAGCGTGAGGAGATCAGATACCAAGGATCACCTCTACTATGAGTTCACATAAATGGCATCAGGGTGTGGTCACAAATATTAAGCATATTTTCTGTTTGGTCTGTTTTGTATAAATACACACATGATTATCATTGTTTTGAGCCGAGAAAATCACAGGCACTATATTCAGAATCAAAAGACAAGCTAGAAAGAAAAGTTCAATTTTTTAAATAAAAAGGATCTATATGGGATTCTTTTTACTTTCATAGCTGTTTGTTTGGGTAGGTTAAGAAAAGTGAAATACATTATATATCCTAATTTCCTGGGATACCAGGAGGGAAAGAAGAGGAATAAGGAAGAGGAGGAAGATGATAAAAAAAAAAAGGAGGAGGAGGAGGAAGAGGAGGAGGAGGAAGAGGAGGAGGAGAAGATGAAGGAGGAGGAAGAAGAGAAGGAGAAGGAGGAGGAGAAAGAGGAGGAGGAGGAGAAGGAGGAGGAGAAGGAGAAGAAGGAGGAGGAGAAGAAGAAGAAGAAGGAGAAGAAGAGGAAGAAGAAGGAGAAGGAGAAGAAGAAGAAGGAGAAGAAGAGGAAGAAGAAGGAGAAGAAGAAGAGGAGGAAGAAGAAGGAGAAGAAGAGGAAGAAGAAGAAGGAGGAGGAGAAGGAGAAGGAGGAGAAGGAGAAGGAGAAGGAGAAGGAATAGTTATTCTACTAGTCTCATAAAATCTTCCTGCACCCCTTTTCCTTCAAGCACTTTGCTGATCTCAACAGACATCTTGCATCAGACTCTAAGCTGGATAGTTTACTGTGGTCTGTTTTTTAAATCTATCTTTCTTCCTTTCTTCTTTCTTCCTTCCTTCCTTCCTTCCTTCCTTCCTTCCTTCCTTCCTTCCTTCCTTCTGCTTCTACCATTCTGACCATCACATTACTTTGTTGGTACCAACTTTCCTGGATTTCACTCTTAGCACACACACACAGCCTAAGTCTCTTAACCTGGCATTTATGTCTTCACTTGTTTTTAAACCTATCTTTACAAACACAGCCCTAAAGCATTTCTTCAGTGACAGGCCTCTTGTAATGAAATTTCATACCATCAAGTGTCCCCTATTCTGTTCAGCTTGATCACAAGGTAATCTCCAACGTAGGTCCAGATGTGTCCTACTCATGTGGGCCCTTTCAAATCTCCTCACGCTGCTTTAGCTGCACCACTCTGGTTATGTATTTCCGCTTCCCATGTTGTCATTACTGATTTATGTCTTATTTCCTTTTCTACTGCCCTTGTTCAAATCATGAGAATGTGTCTTTGGTGGCACATCATTGCCAAAGGTCTGTGTCATGGACGACTCATGTTAGAAGGGACAAAATCCAAGCTACAATCCTCTCCATGCTATGCTGCCTTATAACAAAGACATAGTTGACCCATGAGCCTAACAAACTGCTGTCACCCATTCCCAAGATTTAGTCCATCTGGATGTCTGGTTACACAGACCTTGCTCTAGCATCTAAACCCTGAGTTTTGCTTATATATTTTTTTCATTCTTAGAACCTACAAAAATGCATTGCAGATATCCCACACCAAGATTCTCCTGTGATGATGATGTGGCCGAAACACTACCTTCTCCCTTCTGGATCAATTTATGGGTTATTTACCATCTCTTTAATTTACCCTGTGCCTCTCCTCCCAGATTTAAATAATCAGTACTTGGCCAAATTTGTCTGACTGAGAGCAGCACTAGACAGGACTGAGTTTTCTCTTCCCCCGTGTGATAAGCCTTCTGCTTAGGCTTTTGAGGCAGAGCAACAGTGACTTTGCCCTATGTTCTTGCCACTTCACAGGTCTCAGTGTCTTAGTCTGCCCTGCTCATGTCTTCGTGTCTCTTTAAATACGAGCTGGGTTAAGAGTCTGTTCCATCTTCAATTCTCTGGCTCTACTTCCAAACAAATGAATGTGCTAATCCTCCCAGCTTCTCAGTTCTGGATCCCTGTTACCACCTAGTTTCCACTAGGATGTCTCAGTCTGCAGCGTTGACTTCCTCTCAGCCCCAGTATTCCCTCCTCCACAATTATTTCGTACATGTCCAATCAGGCACCCAAACTAAGTCTCTGTCCTGTTCTCCCTCCTTCTGTCATAAGCAGATTTGAATCTACACGTAAGTACTCTTGGACTGGACTTTTAATACACAACCTGAATCCAGGACCTAGAGAGCTCTCTTGCCCGCTCTTATAATGGGAGGACCCAGAAGTCACCATCTATAAGTCAGATGGCAAATTCTCATCAAAGGCTGAGGATCTTTGGAAGGAGAAAGATCATGGAAGTGCTGTGTGATAGACTGAGTAGTGAGTAGAATTATCGCAGTAGCTTTCCTATCAGTTCTATCTCTCTGTAGTCATTAAAAAAAAAAAAACTAAAATAGCATTATTTCCAAGGGCAAACACATCACTGTTCAAGTATATTGTCAGATTGTGATCTGTGCTAAAGTACACTGCAGATAGGTTCCCAAGATTCTGAAAGATGTAACCTTAAAAAAGAAGGCAGTTGAATAGAATTTAATGGACAAGAATTAAAACACTGTGTTCATAAGTAGGGTGTAATAATTGCATAAAAATAATTTTGAACATGCATGATCCCAAAACTGCCTAAAATGTTCAGAGAACTCTAATAACTAAAACATAAGAGAATGATTTGGTAAAATCTCAGAGGTTTTGTTTACTCAGAACGAAGTGTGTATCTCTAAATTCAAACAGTTTCTCCTTTCCTTTTTTCCTAGTCCTGTTCATTATGACTCAGCAAACCAAACTCTATGGAGTTCTGATGAAAATCTTCTAAATTATTGAGACTTGATGGGTTTAAGGTCTGAATCGGTTACATAAAAGCTCAGGAAGAAAGTAACAGTCAGAAGCGGCAGAGATAAAGAGGATGTAGGAAAACAAGGAAGAACTGGAAGTCTGGAACTTTCTGAGGTCATACTTCGGGCATTGAGTTCTTTGGTGGAACACAATGCACTATGACTCGAGGAGGAAAATGGTTGCTACAAACATGCCCTTTGCTTGGACAGTGAATCATAGTCACTACCAGGCCCAGGGGCGAGAGCTGACTGACTTAGATTATGCATAAAATAAGAGCACTGGTTTAATAAGTTGGGTTATTTACTTTTCCATTTTGCCCCATAGGATGGATTTCAAGAGACAGAAAGTTTGACAGGGCAATCAAGTCTCAGCCCTGGAGACAGCAGGCAGGTTTAATTAAGAGAAGCCTGAATGGAAGAAACTCAGGGAAGCACAATCATTCTTAGCTGGCAGATGGATCTGATCTGGAACCTTCAGAGATGGTGACAGACAGCACCAGTGTGTGGGCTGCCCCGGGACCTGAGAAAAGAAAGCTGAGGCCTTTGGGGTTCACTTTGCCCCAGCTGTGTATTCCTGCTTAGATGTGGGCATGCCTGGATTTGCCAGTTACCAGAACAAGGAAGGCGGGGAGAGAAGGAAGAGAATTCAAGTCCCAAATGAATGCAAATAGACTGGTTATTTAAAATATCTTTCAGTGCCCAAGCATGGGTGACTTCAATGGTTACTTATTTAAAAGTGGAAATCTTGGCTCACTCCTTTAAATATCTAGCCAACTATTTCTTGAGTGTCTTCCCTGAGCCTGCTACCATGCAGGACATGGAAACATAGCCTAGATCTGAGTGTATAGCCAATGGGTCAGGTTCCTTAAAAAAGCCAAATAGAAAACCAAAACAGAACACCATTGCTAACTCCTCAGGACTGACTTCTCTGGCTTCTGAACTTTTATAATACATTATCCACAGCTTGCTCATCACCTAACTGCTCTCTTTCCTTATTTACCCATATCTTATCTTCCTTAAGTTGACTACTAGATTCTTCACAACAGGATTACTACTATTTTTCATCATTTAGAGTGAGTATATGAAGTATACACACAAAAATTAATAAAATATTAAATACACTTAACCAATAGGGAAACACTAAAGTATTAATTAAGTGCTATAAGAGGATGAGTGATTTTCCTCTTGATTTCATATGTCCATTTAAAAAACATACATAGGAAACTTCTCTTACATTGCACAATAAAAAGTAACTAAGAAACAAAAATAACCCCAGAAGTATCACATGGAAAGAACAAGTGTGTATTTTAATTATGAGGTAAGATTACTTTAAGGACTATAAACATGGCATTATTTTTCAGAGACAATTGTTCCTGCACGGAGAAGCAATAAGGGTGTACAGATATGTATTTAGCACTAAATTAAGGTGTTTTCTCAAAACCTGGAGATAGGAAGAGCAGATCTAACTTCCACTTAGGGGAAGTGAGATGTTGCTAGAAGCCATCTGTAACTCCAGCCATTATTCAGTTTTTGAAAGAAGGAAAAGAGTTCATAGAAACATGGTTTCCAAGAAATGCCTGGCTCCACAATTTTCTTTTCTACAGTGCCTTGTTTGTAGACATGATTGACAGTTGCCTTGGAATTCAAACGTGGCCTTGAATTCCTGATCTTCCTTCCTCCACCTCCTAAGTACTGAGATTATAGGCCTGTGTAACTACACCTGGTTTTAAATATTTTAGTTCAACTCTCGAATTTAAGGAAATATTAAATAGGATATGGATCAAAAGACCGAAAGACTGGACTTCCAAATGAGCATGCCATCCACTGCTCTCAGTTCAGATGAATGTCAGTGGAAATCCAAATCTCTAAAATCTATTGCCTGTTTCCATGGCACTTATGCAATGCAGTCTATTCTCCTTGGAGTGCCTTGTGGAGATGAGGGAAATGGGATCAGAAGGGAAGGCAAACTGGTGTCATGATAATCAACTGGGGACGCCAGTGCTGTGGTGAGGCTTAACCCTGCTCCATCTGAGGTTCCAAAAGGAAATTCTAAAAGTTGTTGTCCCAAAGATCACGACTCACTTTTCCCATTCACTTCCCGGTTGTAAAATAACACTTTCTCTTTTGAGCCTCCATCGACTGAACCCTGAGTATTAATGGACATTTCCTTCGATATAGTCCTGACTTCTTTTCTGTAGGAGACATCCCTATGTTCAGCTGTTGGAATCAGCAGTGCCAACTGTGTGGAAGAACTATAATTGACACTTTTGAAAGACACAGATAAATGTCTGCAAAGGGATAGTATTGAGAAGTACTTGTTCAGAAGCTGCGCTTTCAACACTTGACTATTTCATTTTTATTTTGCTAAAACAAATTTTTCCTCTTTTATGTGTTTTGAGATTTTTCATACATGAGTATTGCATTTATATCATTTCTACCCACTCTCTCCTCCCTGTAATTCTTCTCGTGCTATCCCCTCTCAAATTCATGATGTTCTTTAATTATTGTTATCCGTGCACATACAATACACACCCATAAACATAAATACAGCCTGCTTAACCCATTTACTGTCCCACATATTCACAAGCTCTCCGTTGGATAGAGCATTGATAACCAGAACATAGAGAACGATTACAAAAGCCCCCAGAGTCAAGAAGACAAATGAACCAACTAAACAACAGGCGGTATACCAGCTTGTCCTAGCTTGTTTCTTTTGCTGTGATAAACACCATGACCAAACTGGAGAGGAAAGGGTTCATTTCAGCTTACAGTTTCTAATCCATAAACGGAAGTCAGGGCAAGAACTCAAGGCAGAACCTTGTAGACAGGAATTGAAGCAGAGACCATGGAGAAATGGTGCTCACTCACTCGCTCCCTATAGCTGACTCAGCCTGCCTATGTATATATATATTAGGGGAAATGAGATGTTGGGAAATATATATATATATATACACACACATATATATATACGTATATGTATATGTATATATATGTATATATGTGTATATGTGTGTATATATATATATATATATATATATATATATATATATATATATACATCCCACCCATAGTGGGCAGAGCCTTCCTACATCAATTATTAATGAAGAAAATACCCCACAGACTTGCCACTCTGACAGAGGTAATTCCTCAACTGATATTCCCTCTTCCCATATAGGTCTAGGTTCATGGCAAGTTAAGAAAAAACAACTGTACAAGTCCTCAACTGAGAGTTCTCAAAGGAAGAAATGAAAACTGCTAAAATATATCTTTACGTCAACATCCTTAGCAATTAGGAAGATGAAAATTTAAATTATTTGGGACTTAACCTTATTCCAATCAGAATGGTTGAGATCAATAAAACAACTGACAACAGATGCTAGTTGGGATGTGGGAGAAGGGGAACGCACGTTCACTGTTGGTTGGAGTGCAAACTGATGCAGCCACCATGCAGTTCAGTGTGGAGAACTTGCAAAAAGCTGAAAATAAAAACCACTATATGGCCCAGTTAGTCCCAGAATCCTCCATCTACATTGTAATCCAGGAATTTATACAAGGAAATGGATTATTATTAGCATTAAACATCTAGTTTAGTTATAAATATAAGTTACTCATTTTAGGGAACTAAGCGTTGAGTATAAAATATTTAATGATATGTTATCTGCATTATATATTATGTTATTTTGAACATAATTAGAAAAGTTCATTATTTCTTAAATACCTTGGTTTTCTCTGATTGATTAAAACATTCTATAATTTGTAATGAAGTGTTATATACCTTAGGAATAGCACATAAACTTATATGTATACCAAGACAGTTTAACTAGGAAGACTTACAGTTTTTAATGTGGTTAAAGAGATTAATCTCAATATTAAAATATTAAACATAGTCAAATAGATTTATCTAATTGGCAGTGTTCTGTATATTGATATATCTGTTAGGAGATAGAAAATCAAACATTTTAAATTGTATTCAGCCATTTATATTCAGTATAATAAATGAAAAATGTGCAGTTAATACTCTAATTTAGTCTAAATAAATTTGATTACTTTATAAGCTAAACAGCACTGATCACTGTTAGATACTAAAAGACCATAGCATGATGAACTTTGGTTCATTTGGCTTTTAGGATTTTATCCATAATTCTTCAGTCAATATCTAATTAAAAGTGCATTGGGAAATTGAAGTCCTATAAAGAAAAAAGAATACTTAAGACGATGGTGATTTTCTGTCAAGATCCATGGCAAACCACTTATCGACATTCCTAAAGCTAACGAAAGTGTCCTTTACAGGGCCCTTTATGAGGAAAGTCACTTCCTTGTCATCTAGGCTGAAGAGTGAGAGACTGACGAAGCACCAGCACCATCATTTGATCGTAACCATTTAATGTGTGTTACAACAGAGGGCATGGCCCAGACGTCTAATTGGCGGAAAATCATTCAAACGCAGTCTTTCCTGTGAGACTTGAAGGCCAGGGCTCTACAGCATGAGATAGATAGCAATTTTTCCACCACAGATGTTTTAATTCCCTAGACATAAGCACGACTTTCACAAAATAAAAGTGAATAGCATCTAAGTTTAAATTGGCCACCAGGTACGCTCAGTACTTGAATGTGATGAGAAGCCAGGCAGTTTCGCCGCTCCTCAGAAAGCTGATGCTTGCCCGCTGTTACCAGCTTGGTCTTAGATGCATTGTTCTCTTCCAGCGTCCCTAGGGCCCGGTGTTATCTGCCTAGCTCGGGTCAGCTTGCCCTCCCCACACCACCCATTTTACAGAGCTGCGGATTTGTGGGTGGTGAGGAAAGGTGCCATTTTCGGAATACCTGCTACCTCTTTAATCCCCACTAAAGCCCTATGTGATAGATAATATCATGCTTGTTTCATACATGGCAGACTTTTGAGGCTTAGATATGGGAAATAACATTCAAAGGTAGTAAGTAATAGACACAAGATTCAGTCCTATGACACCCCGGCTGGCTTCAGAATCTTGATGCTAACGCACGGACATCCGCGTAACTACGGTGATTTTTTTAACCACTGTTTGGTGAGGTCTTCATTACATCCCAAATAGTTTTCATTGTGATTTGTCTTGAGGAAACGAATATTGAACCAAACCCTCAAGTCAATGGCTCTTTCCCTTACGATGTGGTCATTTAATTCGCACTTTAAATGAAGAGACAGGGGGCGTCACGCAGGAATCTAGTAATTTGCTAGGGTGGGGAATTTCTGCAGCTCAGGTGAAGTCCATGAGCTGGTTCTTTGGGAAAGGGGAGGGCAGGGTGGCCTCGTTGCTCCAAACCTTCCCCTTTACTCTTCCCCACCCTCCTCACAAGCTTACCTTGTCCGGGGAAAGAGTATTTCTGAGAAAACTTTGATTTAAGGCCAACTCACACCAGGGTTAGGGCTGCACTGATGCACGCGCCCATTTGCCCTTCCCGACTATAGAGTCAACTTTCTACGGGTCCCGCCCTCAACTCCCCCCCCCCCCCCCCGCCCACAACCCCGGAGGTTGTGAGCTCTTCCCCTCCACCTCCAAGTTCACCTGCTATTATCACGCCGGGCAGAGGAGACTCTTGCGATCGAGCAGCGCGGAGCCCGAGCTGGCGAGCGTCCCTGGCGGTCGTGGGGAGGCGGAGCTGCCCGCGGGTGTCTCGGCGTCCTTGTCTCGGCACCTGCTCACTCACCTGCTCCTGGTTGAAGCCGGCGGGGCGGAGCGCACATGGCTGGCCTCACCGTGCTGCTCCCGGGCACAGTGAGCGAGCGCCGGCAGCAGTTACTTATTACCAGGTTGCCCATCGCGGTGGGGTGTGAGCAACCTGAACCACGCCCAGCGCCTCAGTGCATGTTGGGAGTGTTTACTCTCTCTCCCTAGCCGCGGGGCAGGTGCACTGCTCTGGGTCACGGTTCTGCAGAGAACCGTGGACTGACTGACGTTGGGGACCTTTGTCTGCAACGTCAGGTTGCGTGATTTTCGCCAGCCAACCTGTGCTGTATGGAGATAAACGGCAGGAGCTGGGACCCTGCGTTGTGTTTTCTGAAAAGTTAATTCGTCTTTCAGCTTGAAATTCTTTAAATTTCTTTTCCTTGGTCTTGGCTTCCCCATTCCTTACCTGCACCTTCGTACACAAGGCATTTCTTTCCCCTCACACCCTTAGGATGAGCCAGAACCTTCCAGGCATTTTGCAACGCCAGGGTATCTGCCCGGCCTGACCACCTGACGTTGTGGGTCCTGGGTAGGCGTATTATTATTATTATTATTATTATTATAATATTGTGAAGCACCACAGAAGCATCTGGTAACCAGCATTTCATCTACTGAATTGGGTGTGGGAAGTTTACTTTTTCTCAGTACCTTCAGTTTCAAAAGGAACCCAAAAGATAAGCAGACGACAGACGTTGTGGAAATAGTGTTTTTATTCACACACACACACACAAACACACACGTAATAAAACAGTATTATTTGTACCTTTCTATTTATATGTAAGGAAATTATTGACAGTTTTTTTTAAAAAAAATCGATTGTTTTTCAAGGGTTAAGTTTTTGAGCTTACAAAACTTATTTTTTTATATATTTTATATTTATTTTATCCATTTTATTTCAAGAGAAGATGTGACAAAGTTGACATGTGCTGTCCTCTGCTGGAATAAACAGAGTGACTGACGGTGACGCTGGAGTCACAGTGCTTATTTGATGTGTCTTTATGGTGTCTTCCACAGGATTCTACTCAAGCAGAAAGGATCAGACAGTCGAGGTAGCCTTTCGCAAGTGAAAAAGACCAGGGGCTTTGAGATTTACCAGGTCTTGGTCAAAAGGGGTACTGGACCCAGTCAGTCCAAGTGTTAAGAGTCCTGTGTAAGGCCGGGCCCTATATTCTTTGTGCTGATTTGCCCACATTGGCCCACGATCCCCTGGTGTGTGGTTACTAGTTCGGACTGACCTTTGGATGATAAGGAGCCAGGACCTGCAGTGTTTACAGCAACCGCTTCTAGAATGTCTCCTCAGATCCTGGCTCCGCCCAATCACCTGTGCTGGAAGGGATCGCCTGTTTATTTTCAGAGTCTGGGCACCATTGTGCTTCTGCTTGTATCTGCAGCCTTCCAACTGGACCCCCTTTGACCTTCCGGTGCTTTATCCTTGTGTAAATGTACAGTTTTTCTTTGTCATGTAAGACCATGTAACATGTACACTGTGAAAATTTTAGAAAACACAGAGATGAGAAGAAAAACTCTATGAATTTATCTCTAAAATAAAATTACTGTAAGCAATGGGCTGATGTCTTGACTGACATGGTTGCTCTATGAACATATCAAAACGTGGCTGCATAGTTTGTTGTTTTATGACCTGCTTTTATCTCATAAAGGATATCGTGAACAATTTACCATATGTCAAGTCGGGCTATTATTTTTCTTACAATGTGTTTTAACTAGCAGAACTGTCATATACCATATGCACAGACCATTATTTATTTAACCAGTTCCTTATTGTGTGAAAGTTTTACTCCCAAACAACAATTACAGCGGATGCTTGTGTATAATTGAACCTAACTGTGATTACAATCTTCAGAATGAAGTTGCAAGATGAAAAGTAGTGCATACTTTGAATTATTTTTATTTATTTTACGTGCATAGGTGTTCTGTCTGTGTGTGTGTACACCACTTGCCTTTGGTGTCTGAAGCTAGAAGATGGCATTGGATCCCCTGAGACTGGAGTTACAGACAGATATTAGTCACCACGTGGGTGCTGGGAACAGAATCTGGATTCTCCACAAGAGCAACCTGCAAGTGCTCTCGACAGCTGAGCCATCTCTCTAGACCTTAAAAAAATTAAATCCAAAGAATGATTTATCTTTTTATAACCATAGGGCAATATGCTATCATGAGTTATTATGCTTCTTTCAATTGTTTATCAGTTTGAAAGTTTAAAATCATATTTTATTTTATTTTTTGAGACAAGGACTCACTCAGTAGCTTGTGCTGGCCTCCACCTTTCAGCTCTTTGCTTCATTCTCTGAGTGCTGAGTTTACAGGTGTATGCCACCATCCTCAGCCGATACCTATTGTAAATATGTGCAGAATTAGTTACTAGTAACACTGAAGTATTTCTTTACATTTACCTTGTATTTTTCACTTTTAACAATTGTACTCGTGTCGGGCGGTGGTAGTGCATGCCTTAAATCTCAGCACTCGAGAGGTAGAGCCAGGCGGATCTCTGTGAGTTCAAGGACAGCCTGGTCTACAGAGTGAGATCCAGGACAGGCACGAAAACAGAAAAACCCTGTCTCAAAAAACCAAAAAAAAAAAAAAAAAAAAAAAAGCACTCTGCTCATCTTCCTCTTATTGACTTAAAATATGTCTTTACATATGAAGCACATCAGCTCTTCATTGTGTATGCTGTAGCTTTATTTCCCAGGCTATTTGTTTTGTTTATGGTGCTTTTGACATATAAAAGTTTAAAATTTTAAATAATCAAGTCTATTAATTTTCAGTTATTTTGTAATTGAGTTTAATAAAAGCTTTTATGTCCATATGTGTATCAATTTTCTTCTAGGTTTTCCTCAGATATTATTTATTCATTAAATTCTACCCATCTGGATTTCTTACATTAAAAACCATGAATTTTAAATTCTAACTTCATTTTCCTAAGCTTCTCAACTATTAAATAAGCCATATTTATCAAATAATATAAAGTACTGATTCCATATGAAGGCAAAGATCCTGTCTATATTTCTGTTTCATCCCCTAGGCTTAGTATGGGGCTAGGCAAGCCCAATATTGGTCAGCCCTTAGTTCCTTTCTTTTCCTCCTCCCATGCCCAGCAAATTGGCAAGTCCTGATGTCCCATCTCTGCTGCTCTCCCCCTACATCAGTCCAGCAGTGCTGCAGAAGGACCCTTCTGTATGCTGTGAATGTACGTTGCTCTCATTGTTTGATAATGAAAGCTGATTTGGTCTCTAGCCAGGCAGAATAAAGCTGAGTGGGAAAGCCAACTGGAGATACAGGGAGAAGAAGGGTGGAGTCAGGAGTCGCCAGCCAGATGCAGAGGAAGCAAAATGAGAATGTCATATTGAGAAAAGCTACCAAGCCACGTGGCTAAACATAGATAAGAATTATGAGTTAATAAGTGTAAGAGCTAGTTAGTAATAAGCCTGAGCTCCGGCTAAGCATTTATGAGTAATATTAAGCCCTTGTGTCAATTATTTGGGAAGCGACTGCTGGGTATTTGGGAGTTGCTGGCGGGACAGAAACTTCTACGTACAAGCATGGTCCTGGATTGGATACTACAGTGATTGCTTTCTCTGCCCTACTATAGCTCATTCTCCACCTCAGCCAGCAAGATCTTTCAGAAAGCATTTGGATCACATCACAATGACTTCCTTTGCTGGGAGCCTTTCTAGTGGTTGCCCCATACATGTGCGATGACATCTAAATTTGAGCTCCTTACTAAGACATAAAAGACCTTGCTTGGCCTTTTCTGGCTGCTTTGATTCTCTGCTGCCTGTAGACTTGCTATCCAGGGTTAGTTTTGCTCCTGGGAAAGACCAAGGTTGTTCTTCCTTCCCATCCTTTGGCACTATGTCTGCCAAGAATCTCTGCTCTGGTCACAGCATCTTCTCATTATTCTAATTTTTCCTCACATACCAGCTTCTCAGAGAGGCCTTCCTGATGACAGTATTTTGAAGAAAGTCTCCATTCTTTTTCTATCACAGCACCCGGTTTTACTGTGCTCATGGCGGTTATCATTGCCTAAATGAATTTTATATTTCAGGTTAGTTCTTTATCTTACATCTCCTCCCACTGAAATATAAGCTCTAGGAGAGCATGGATAGAGATTTGATACGGTGATAGGGTGAGCTTTGTCCTTAAAATCCTCCCTCCACTTCCAATTGGCTCTCTCTGTGCTGTGCTTTCAGTCAGGGATGTGAGCTCACAGGCTCCTGCTTCTGTTGACATGCCTGCAGCTTGCTGCCAGGGCTCCCAACCATGACAGACTCTCATCCCTCTGGAACCATAAGCTCAAAGTAACCCCTCCTTCTCTAAGTTGCCTTTGTCATGGCCGCAGAAACGGAAAAGTCACTAATACAGGTAGCCTGTGTTTGGTGTCCAGCTAGCGCCAGGCCCATGCTGGAGGTTCAAGAAAACTTGCACTGACTCATGATGATGGTAAATATGTACTGAATAAACAAATGTGCATCATAATGTTTCCTCATTTGAGGTAGCACTTTATTCAATAAATAAATATACATTGAAACTAGAATTTATATTCTCTTTTGTGGCCCATGTGTCTGCAGTGTTTCTACTGACATACCATCAGCTCTATAGAACAACTCAACCTGACCACTTCTAAAAATTGCTTGGTTATTTTTGCCTCGATTACCACAAATGATAGCTTCCTTTAGACTATTATGAGTTAAGTGGATAATTACTCTATTCACCATAAAGCATTATCAAAATCTTTTAGGAGTAGTGTACTTATATTAGCAACTGATAATTTCATGTTGAAGAAAGGCTCCTAAAGTGTTTACTTGGTTGTTGAGTTTTTTTGGTTGCTGTTGTTGTTTTTAAATATTAAATTTTTGACGTGAGTGTTGGAATGACTATAGTAATGGTTCCGATTTGTTTATCTTCACCTCTACCTCCATCATGTTTCCTTTGGATAGATTTAGCTGAACCAATTCTGGGCTTGGCCATGATACTGGCTTTGGTCTATGCATCAGTACCAAACAAGGCTTGAATGATTTCATTTTTTTTTAATTGGGTCTTCCTGCTTGTTGCTCTTCAAACTCCCAGTGATGATATGAACAAGCCTGGGTTAACATATGGAATGACGGGGACCTTTGGTTCAGTTGCTGGAAGGTTACCCCAGCTCACAGCCTGTAACCAGAGCTCTAAGCCACCC